CGAGAAAAAAAAGTTTTATTGCGCTTGCGCTTGTTTAATTAAATTAAGAAATTCAAAGGTCAATATGTGTTTTATTATGTTATAACAGCCAATTAAAAAACAGAATTCGAAATGCAGGTGTCTACCCAAAAATATTGATTGTTCTCAATTAGCGTTTACTCAATGTATAATAATTATAATATACGCATTTACGTACATAGTAATTTGAATACACGAAATTAAATAATAAAATATTATAAAAATTATTTAGTAGACTTGATTTTATTATTCCCATGATCGAAATAAAACTAATTTCGTAAATGTTGAACAAATTGGGTTGTTTTGATGTTTTCAAATACAACCTACAAAGATAATCAGTTATTAATAACCGTAAAAATAAAATAAAAAAATATACTTATCGAAAACACGTAGGAATAGTCGATAGGACCTATAGTATAAGTATTACATACGCGTATAAATAATGTACATGTATAATATAATATCGATTAAAGTTTTGACACGTCAGACACGTGTTACGTTTTTATCATGAACGATGTGTTATATACATGTAGCAATTCGCAAGCAAAAATTCGAAATTCAACGTTTCACTGTTAGACTGCCGTATGAAAAATCGAGTGTGAGTCTCCGGCCGTTAAGGTGTACAAAAAAAAGTAACAAACAATAAAAAAATATCATAAACGCGCAGAAAATATATGACACACATGCACACACAAACTTACACACACGAGTATACATATTCAAAACACATGGAATCTATCAAACGGTTGTTTATCTGGCATATACGCTCGGTTAGCGTTTAATGTACGCATGTATATTAATAAAATAGATTGACACTAACGTCCTGTTCAGTGGTATACATATATATATATATATATACACATATACACGTCGGCAGATGAGATATTGATCCGAAAACGGTGGGTACCTCTCATATCCTCCTCTTACACCCCACCCATAGTTCTCGGTTGAAATCCTCAACAGTCCCTCGGCAACGTTCCCACCGGTCTTTCCATGAGTCCATAATGCATACTAATAATGGGCACTTTTGCATGATGTTAATCATTATTAATGTAGGTGTTATTGTATTAATTGTCCTCAACAGCAAAATAAAATATTAAAAAATAAAATTCAAAAATTAAAAATTATCTCATTACTAATATTAATTATTGTTACAACTTTTAACTTATTGTTGGTAGGTATACCCTATACATATTTCGTTCAACAAATCATATTATTATGCCGATTAACCGACTCAAAGAGTCCGACGATTAAATTAATTTTTTCTACTTATACATGAGAAAATGTAATTTTCTTAATCCTCGACAAAAATGCACACACATCAATCTCGCGAGATTTGCATATTATTAAACTTTATCGTGAAAATGAATCCATAAAATAGCTATGTATAAAAATATTAAAATCAAAAACCACTTCTCACTATTCATTATGCAAATTTCTGGACCCTTTAAATTTGGCTTTTTCTTTTTCTTTCAGAAGGTAGCAACTATAGTTTACTATAGTACATAGGGGCAACTAGAGAGGCGCAATAGGGTTTTTAGCACCCCTGAGTTCAAATGTAGTATTCCTCATTTTTTCAAATCTATATAATCTATAGTAATTACAATTAAATACTATTTCATTTTATTTTCAGTAATTTCAGCACCCTCAATATTTGGGCTCTAGTTGCGCCCATGCTATAGTAAACAGTGATTCTGTTTACCTTCAATGATTCACCTTCAATGATTTTTTACTTTGGTTAATTTATTACTCGCATAATCTAACCATCTAATGGATATAGTTTCTTTTTCTTAAGAGAAAAATCGTTTGACAACCCTCAATTATTGATAAAGATGACACATGATGATGTAAGAATTTGATAATAAATGATATAATATATTATTTATTATCAAATGATTATAGCACTAACTAACAATTAATTATTTATTGTTTACGTACTTACTTTTGGTGCTTCTATATTAATTAATTTTTTTAACCCTCTGTTAGACCATTTTTATCCATAAATGAGATTAAACGAAAGAATACGAACGCAATAATATTGACCGACAACACCAGTCCATTATAATACCAAATCGAATCGTAGGGGATATACAACAAATGTCTGTATAATGTTACGAGTAGACCAGTGGTTCCTAACCTTTTTCATCCTATGCCCCTGATCAATTTTAAAAAATCTCATTCCCCCCTTAAATTAGAGTTTTAGTGGAAAGAATCAAAATTTGTACCTATCAATGTTAGGTTAAATGTGAAAAAGTCTATCCGCTATCATTATAAAATATAATTGTTATCGATGCGGAATAATCCAAAAATGTTTTAATTTTACACATTCTAAATGTACAATAACATAATTATTTTCGTGATTTTATCATCGCTATATCCCCCCATCGAGCCAATTCTATATTTCCCCCCTTCCCCGTTGGGAATCACCGGAATAGACATAATTTACGAAAATACGTTCAACGTTAAAATTATAGTAGAATTGACTTCGGAAAGCAAAACACAATATACTTTGTACTATCCACTCTCTGATTTTCTTCGATACGCTTGGCAACAATGCAACACATTTTTGGGCGGCGTAAAATATCAATTTGTATGTATACTTTCAACGAATTGAATACAATAATAGTTGAAAGTTGAATTCCCTAGTAGTCGATTCCCAGCATTTTCGAGACCTCCAATTTTTTTACAATTAAAAGAAAAATCTATAATTAGTAACCAAATAGAAACAAAAATCTAAGAAAATATAGGGATCTAATACATATAGCATTGAAGCCATCTAGTATTGCCGTTGCGAACTCGTGCGAACAGGATCATTTAAAGTACAAGATTCAATACAAATTAAATTTGTATGTATAACAGCTAATTTAAAATCTTCGCATCAGCCATAAGAAATTAAAGATTTATATTTTGAAATTTCAAAATTATTATTCAGATTTCCCCTTTTAAGTAATAAATAAATAAATATAAGCTTTCTATGTACGTCGATTTTATCGTTCTACAGTTGAAATTAGAAAAACAATATTAATGTATGTTGCGTGAAAACCAAAAGACCCTTTACACGTATGTCATACTCGTATATAATCCGTAATAATAATACAAATCGAACGTTTAATAGCGAGTGTCTCACCGGCTGTAGGTACACCAAATATAGCCACTCGATGATCTGCTTTCATATACATACACTAGTGCTCTGCACAGTCCGTTATTTTCAGGACCAGACCGGACTTCAAATTTTACCAGGGGACCGAAGTCGAACCGGATCACACTTAAACGTTAAGACCAAAATTGAACCGAAGGCTTCATATTATTTTTAGACCGGACTAGACCAGTAATTAAATAACAATTAATAAAGTAGACTGTGAACCGAACTTTCAGTTCGATTTTAAAACATTTTAGACTGTTTATGGATCGGTCAGGATAGGTTCAGTCTGTATTAGCCCAGACCGTACCATATGAGGCGTTTAGTATTACACTGGACCGGACTACCCAACTTTATAAATAAATATTTACCTAGAGTTGTAGGTTTTTTCGTTTTATTTGTTTACATACTCGTAAAAATATCTGTATTTAGATTTTATGTACTATGATTGGGACCGGACTGATTTTCATTTTATTTTTTTAAACTGAATCGGACTGAAAATAATGCATTTGATCTGAGGACTGAACCGAATTACTCCTAATAATTATAAAAATTATTGAACCGGACTATACCGACGATTCAATAGTTTTTGTATGTTAGGACCGTACTAGACCGGACCATGGAAAGCACTAACACGCACTATACACATGAATCGTGTTCTCTATAACCGAGTTGTGTATGTATATCGAAACGATTATTACGTCCGTTCGCGTAAATGTCACATACATACATTATGTACACACACGCGAGCACGGGCGCTCCGGCGAAATAATGCATCGACAAACATACGCACACTAAACGGACATAGCTGAAGAGTATAATATAGGTATCTGTCGTCATCGCCGACATTCAGTTTGAAATAATGGTCGAAACTTTTTACGGCCCACAAGATTTTACCGACATGGATATCGCATAATTATCGGATGGGCTAACCCCTTCGTCATTGTTATGAATAATAATAATAATCAAAATAGTAAAAACCTAGTGGTAACGTGTCCTAATCAAATGAAGTGCTGATATTACTCCTGCTACTTCCTAGGGTCGTCTAGGTTGCACTTGGGTCGACGGGTTGGGTTGTCTGCATGGGGGTAGTTTTCAGATGCATACACACACCATTGTTCCAAAACGACAAGGAATATACGCTAAAGCGAATGCGCATCCTTTGCGTATTACATTGATGTGCGTGACCAAAGATGAAAACCAACCGTTTTCACCATGCAGTGGATGCGTATTTTTATGACGCTGCGTTATACATACGATTGCTTTTCGTCGCAGCAACGAATTATTGATAATTCCCCAGCCATCTACTGCATGTCTCCAAGAACAATAGGTGCGTATATATGGGGATGTTCAACCCCCGAAATTCAGGAACATTATTAAATGTGTTTCTATAAAGCAGCGTTTGCCAACATGAATAGGTTCACGGGCCACACGGATAAATACAATAATACCAAGAGCCAAAATGTTTATAGATACATTTTATATAATTTGATAATTTTTTTATAAATTTATACCTGAAAAATTGAAATTCATAATAATAATAAAGTGAATTTTAATTTTATAAATAAAAGCATGAGCCGCAAGTTGAGCACCCTCGCTATAGAGTAAAAGTGGTTTATAGATTTTATAAGTATGCACATGTACAAGCTAAAATCACCAGAAAATATTTGTTTGTGTACGCGCCATGCTTAAACAATTCTATAGCATCCGGATGTAGTTGTCTCATTCGTCCCTTACCTTAACCACGGTCCTGTCTCCGCGAAAATCGGCAAACTTTGCCCGTTGGTAAACAGCGGCGTGCGCGCGTACGTGTACGAAGTTCCGCGGTATTTTGACGACTTACTTTATGAGTGTAGCCGTCCAGGTCAGCGGTTACGTGCGAATGAGTGACGGCAAAAGCGAAGGCGGCCATCACAGCAGCAACAACAGCGGCGGGCAATAGTCCGAGAGCGCGGTTCGACTTGACACTTTGCACCACGGCGGCAGCGTGCCGAACGGCTACCGTGCTCAGCGCCAGGTCTGCCGAGTAACCGCGCCGGTAATAGTATACAATCGGAGCTCGAGGGTAGTGGATTGGGGGTGGGTTAGCAGATTAGGTATACCAGTGGTTGAGACGTGAGGGAGGGGGTGGCTGTTCGACGGTGCTCGTGTACGTACTAATATTATTACGACGGTATCCCGGTCTCCTCAGTGCAGGGCAGTTGGCAAGCTGTAGCGACGACCACGGCAGATGATCGCTGTTGTTGCACACACGCATCGGACGTGACAACAGCAGCGACGGCGGTGGCGGCGGCAGCGGCGGCGGCGGCGACCACGTCAGCTCCGAACGACATCTGTACCCGAACACGAGAGGCCCACTGAGGTTCTGAATCCGCGACGAGCGTGTAAACAAAAACTGAATGATCAATATTTTGTCCCCGTTGGCGCGCGCGGCGCGGCGGATACACATCACGAGGGGAAGAATAACAAATAAACTCGCCGCCGCGATAAACGGTAAATTTTCATCTAATTTCTCGTTCGGCCGATCGACGCGATTTCTGCCACCGTCACATCGATTTATCCCCTCGCGCGCACAAAGGTCAAACGATTGATTGTTTCCGTGCCCTACCGACCACCACCGATGAACTCATTGACCCCCTGCGCACGCATACATTACACATCACACGATATTATCGTGGATAAATGTAATGTCGTATCCAGGAACCCCCTCTGCGATGTCAAAAAAAAAAAGTTAATAATACTTGATCTTAAATAATATGTTTAAAAAAAAATAATAACGACGAACCGCGATTCATTGTCATAAACACGCGGACAGAATTTATTAAATATAGTTTACAAAGCCGGAACGCCGAGCACGCGTAATAATGAATACGGCGGGATCACGCGAAACATTGCACACCAATGTAGGACTCGAACTGAACAATGCCCGCGATCATAGCGCAGTTAAAGTTCGACCGGAACCGACGTAAACGCAGTTTTTGGGCAAAACCAATGTTTTTTTTTTTCACGGAGAGACATCTGTTAACAGTTGTCAACGTTGATGTACGCGGATAAATCGTTACAATAGCTTTGCGATGCTTCGCCGCGCGACCGATTGCGTTAAAATACCATACGCTGCACCGAATGCTTAAAATAGCGTCAAACCGTAAGTCGATCGCCGTTCGCCGTTCGCGCGTACGAGTCCGCAGCACCTAACATCGTAATACGCGCGCCGCCAACGCTTCGAATACGCTCGTCAATGCACTCATCAATCAACAGTTACGCATAAATTTTATAATGTAAACCAGCATTGCTCCGGTGTAACAATAATTTATTACCGTAACGATAATGTATGGTGTTTATACGCATCGACCGGACGAAAATGTGCGCGCGCGCGCTCGACGCCCTTGCCATCGCCGGCTCTTCCTCTCCCCCGCCCACCACCCGCCGCGAACCCCCCCCCCGTCCCCCCCCCCCCCCCCCGCATAGGTCGCGTGCACTTCTGCAGTCACCAAGAACACATTACAGAATTATTACATTACAATATCCCTCCGCGTTATCGCGTTTCCGCTCTTTCGCGACGTGTTTTATTTTTTATTCCCGCGTCCGGTGGGTGGCAGCGCAATTACACAACCATATGAGTTTGGCGTGACGTGTATTATGATAAATATCTAGTACAGACATTGGCGGCCGTCCCAGTGCCCTCTTATAAATCACCCCGGGAACGTCGAATTGTTTTTTTTCTATTTCTTGAATCGTATACGGATACACGCGCATCGCGAACGTTCGATGGCCGCCGATAGCTAGCGACGGAAATAGGATTTCGACTTTTAACTCGCCGCCACCATCGATGACGACCGGCAGAATACGCTTCAGTCGACGAATGACGTAATAATAATAATAATAATAATATGTATCGACGGCACGCGTATCCGTCTTTGAAGGCGATCGACGTCCCTCGCCACCAAGTTTGCGCTCCGTCGCGCTTTCCGCTCGCACGGTCGTCTATCGAGTTTTGGCAACGGTGCGGTGGCGTTGATGACGTTCCAAATGTGTTGTTACGGATGTATTTCTTTTCATCCTCCTATACCACACGACCACTTACACCCCCAACGAGTAAACAATAAATGCAAACATTTTTTTTCCCATTTATAATCTGTAAAATATTTTTTCAATAAAAATATGTGTTTTAACGTAACAGTTACATGATTTACATGAGAAAAGAAGTCACGCAGCGGTTACACTTTATATTTGACTTTTATTTGTTATGTTATATTATATTGTATATTGTTTTATGAGTTTTTTTTCTTTTTTAATGATAAATATTTATTATTATAACACGTATGTTTCGTAAATTTATTCGGCATGTGAGTGGTCTTAAACCGCACGTCTCACGAGTAGTAAAATGTACTCTACATTTGATGCGAATTCAATACGTATGTATTATACAACATAAATATACATATCGTAAACTGATGCATTCGGGTGCTAGATGGATAAGTCGAAACCTACTCGTATACCTACCGGCAATAGAATCAGAAGTATGTGATTTCACTCACAATGGGTTCTCGATAATTCAAACCGTAGGGTTTTCGATTTAACGATAGAAGTTTTATTGACTACCATTTTAATGTCACCAGCACTTTATACTGATAAAATAAATCCAAAGAAAAAAATTAAAATAGAAATTGAATCGATGTAGAAAAATATAGAATGCAAAATTAGTAAAAAAAATAATATTATAAAATAATTTATTGAATATGAAGCATGCAATTAGTAAAACACTTGAATTATTGGAATAATATTATGACCGTGAAGTAAATTTCCAGATAACATTTTATAAATCAAAATTAGAATTTCATGACAATTATTGAAACGAGTTTATAATACATAACTGCGAACATCGTTGATTTCAATAGTTGACGGTTGTCGAAAGTTTTTTCATTGAGAACTTCCAAGAGAACTTTTAAATTTTCGGTAAAGTCATCGTTTTTATCTAAAATCAAATTGTCTTTTAATAATTGCATAATAATATAAATTGACATTTGGAAAGAAATTGTGAATGACAGGGATAGGTGGCGCAATGTTATTTTGGTTGTAAAAACGTTTAGAGAATTTTAAAAGCCACAAAAGAAAAATATAATAAAATGAACGTTACATATCATTCGGTAATCATATAATAATTCTGTAGGATATTAAAACTATGACTGTTGATTATTTCCAATCAACTATGTTTGAGCGTTACATTTTGAAAAATGTTCCCAACGAATTTTAGTTTCGAATAAACAAACGGTTTTTATTGCCACAATGTGGCAATAAAATAATAAAATAATCATAATATCTTCTTTTATAACTTATAACAGAAAAAGCTGAGTTCATAGTTTATATTCAATGTAAGTTTAACTTATGTACAACGAAAGTGTTATTAGTTCGTGTTTGAAGTACATCAAGCGACGAGTACAGGTTCAATTATATATAGTTTTTGTAGCTTTATAGAAAACGAAAAAAATAATAATAATAATAATAATAATATAAATACTAGTATAAGTGAATAAAAACCTAGATGCTCGCTAAATCATAAGTAAAAAAACTAAATATACCTGACAGAAAGTAGAATATATTATGTAGTTATATACGTGAACAGTTTAAATTGAATATAATATTTAAATATACTCATAAATATTACACGTGTAGAGTGTAAAATATGCATACTCCGCACAGATCCAAACTGAGAAAATTACAAGTAATATGAATTATGACTTGACATTTGTGTAAATTAAATACAAAAACCATTTTTTTATAATTCCATACATGATGTAAATATTAATATAAACTTTTCAAAATGTTCATAATAGAACATAATTATAGTATATAGAACAATAGTACTTATAAAACACAAAACAAGAAAATGATTGTACATCGTAAAATAATGTAGATATATTTAATCAGGATTGGCGCTACAAATTGCGGGCAAATAGTTAAAATAAAATAATACACAACAATTAATATTTAATTTATACTGAGTATATATATATATTATATATGTTATAGTAAAAGATGTAAATTAGGTAATAACAAAAATGCTTAGCTAATATTTTAAATGCTTAACATTAATAGATGATATCATCAATGCCTAGGCATTAATTGAAAACATAGGGGATGTTGTAAAAATCGAATATTTTGTTGGCACATTTACAACTATGAATAGGAAATTACCTAATATTATTAATATTTAATACTGATATGTAATGTAGATATTTTTGTTTAGCGAAATATTAAAATTAGGTTCATAATAATTATACATAATTATTTATATTCACAATTTATTGTATTATTATACCGTGCCAATTTGAATTGCATAAAATATTAATTTTTACAAATACATCTATTATTTTTGCATCCTGTTTTACAAATACATCTAGTATACCTTTGTGATTCTGATATATAGATTCTATATATACATTAGTATTACTTGCAGAAAGAATAACATTTTATTTATAATTAAATTTGATTTGATTTGATTTCAAGTTGTGTATTTTTTCTGCTATGGCCATTTACGGTATGGATTACGTAACCTACTTTAAACGTTATCCGGCAAATATATTGCAACTTTATTATAACTGTTGAATAAATGATTACGATAACATTCGACATTGCCTTGCGTAACAGCAGAACAATTTTGCGCCAAGGTATATTAAGTGTAAACTTATCAGTACCATCAACAACATCAACTCATCTCAAGAAAATGGGATTGACTATCAGGTAAACGGATCTACACGACAGTACCGTAACACGTCGTACGGTACGGCAATAATGCGCCGCGAACGGGTAACAACGACGTTTCTGCTCCGTCGAGAAGTGTTCGCGTCCGACGTTCGATCGATAGAGCCTCCGCGCTTGAAATGCATGATATTTATGTGTTTTTCAGTTCCGATCACCGTAGTGGTCCTGCTCAGGAGGCGAACAGGAATGACGAGCGATTGCAGTTGATTACCTTCTGTTTAATCTGTAGATGGCCACGGTTCCTGGTCTGGTTAACAGAGGATCAAGGTGCGTACGGTTGAGGTTTTATTTGCGCTACGACACCTTTCGATCTTCGTTGGAGTTTTCTTGACGTATCATCTCGCTCGCACTTTTCCCGCTTTAGCCCGTCGGGTTTCGCGCATCACGGTTACTGCACAGGACCGGAAGAACAGTGAGACGGCCCTCTGGTTCGCGATAACGTCGGTGGTTGAATGGCTACCAGTCCCATATCCTTTACGGAATGCGGTTCACAAACGGACTTCATCACTACTGTCGGCACACGAGTGGCCAAACGCGACTTCGCGTGCGGCGACTCCTGCGCAACGTTCGTTGACACGTGCACGCAGACTTACCCGTCCGCCGGTGAAGTCGTGTCCGACGTCATCGAAGTAACTAGCGAGCAGGCGCATTCTGCACTGATGTGCGATGCAGTCGACTCGGCGACGAGTGTCCGCGTGACGACAGAACAAGTCAGTACGTTTGGTGACGATGAAGACGAAATCGTCCCTTACGTACTACCGAAAATGGAAGAAAATCGCGCCAAAGTGAGTGCAAAACCACATTACCATTAATTATTTACGATCGTGTTCAACGCGGAATGGTGGCCCTTATATATATTTTTCACGTACGCGATACGACTCGATTTTGTGCGCAGTATAGTTATAGAACATCAACATTTACGCTTTTCATTTGTCGGGACCAAAATTTGTTTCCCAAAAACGCACACAAGAATATTTGAGTGGATTTGAAAAAAAAAAACATTATCATTTCAATAACTCGTGAACTTGAGGGCGGCAAAATAATTTGCCGCTGACTGTTTGCAACAGTCGATCACAGTAAAACGATTGCTAACAGTGTAACACCCAGGGCTGAGCAAGATACTTAAAAAAATTACCTAAACAGAAGATACTTCGATATTTTCAAAAATACTAGATACAAGATAGCTGGTAGCAGGTAGCTGAGATACATATAAGATACAAGATAATTTATTTATTTATTTATTTGTTTATTCATTTACATTAAGTACATAATAAATAATAATTGTTATATATATATATATAATTAATAGGCTTAGAGACTTTTAGCATTTGCATACTTTTTTAATTATTGTTAAATATAGCAGAGTGCGAAATAAATTCATTTCTCGGTGCCATGATATCAGATCTAAAATTTGAATATCAATACTTTTGCATATTTGATAGATTTTGCAGGAAAGTGCATATTTTAAAATGTTTATGCTTATTTTGCATATTTTGACAAATTTTCCAAATTTAAAATTAAAAACTATGGATACATATTTCGAAAGAAAAATATATTAAGAGAACTTAATACTTTCAGTAATATACTATCTGCAAACTACCTCTCATATCTCGTTATAAATTTCGTGTAAGTATAAATAATACTATAAAACTGTATCGACCGTATAACTCGCTAGATATTGACCGGATGTCGATAAAAATAATAGTTGATATAGAATAATAGATTATTTGTTTATTGTCTATTTTAGTTGATTGTTATCCAGGACCGTAGCTAAGGGTGACGAGAGGTGCCTACGCCCCGGACGCAATTCCTGGGAGAACGCAAATATGAAAATCTTGCGTTTAATATTAAAAATTACAACGGTCAATGTCGTATATTTTGTTTATAAATTCTTTAACCTTCATATTATAATCAAAAAAATCATCGAAAATAAAATCTAATAAGCGTAATATTTTCAAAATGAAAATACGTAAGTGCGCATTTTGAAGTTTCACCCCGGGCGCAATGTTTGGTTGCTACGGCATTGTTATTATTCGTCGTTGTTTTTGCATCTCGCAACCACACAACGTCAAATCATACGTAAAACGTCGTAAACGTATATTTTATAATATTGAGTAATGCTGAAAGTACAACAGTCTACGAGTAGCCGACTACAAAGTTTTGTTTTGGAGTTTAAAGATACATTTACATCCGATGAACACGTTTTATTTTGTGTACTGTACTATGCATATTAATGCATTTTTTAATGATTTTTGAATTATATTTGCATGCATATTTGTGTATTTTTTAGAGCTATAAGTCCCTAAGCCTAATAATTAATAATAAATATTAATAATTATTAATAGTAAATAATTTAAATTTTCAATTTACATTTATTATTTCATCAAAATTTAATATTGTATAGAATGTTCCATTTAAGGATTTTGGAATATTAACAATTACATTATTATCCATGTTTTTAGTAATAGATTCTTAAAATCGGACGACACTACACAAATACCGCGTAGACAGAAAATATGTAATATAATCTTTATTATGAGCAAATATTGAATATATAGTTCATTTATCAAGTGAAATGAAGGTATATGCCTTTGACGTGAAAAACTTTAATCCGAATTATTAATAATTATTATTACATAACAATAAATTTTATCTAGTCTTTAATCATAAAAAGATACTAGATACAAGATACAATTGTATCTCAGATACGTATCTTAAATACTAAGTGTCTAAGATACTACCCAGCCCCGGTAACACCAAACAAACAAATACATACTATACGATATTCATCAACAGGATATTATCTAATATATATATAATTATCTGAATGAACTCTCCAATATTTACTAATCACTACGTACTATTCCCAGGAATTGAACGTCACCTATAAATTGTGGGAAAATCGGTTTGCACGATTTTCGAAATTCAACAACGGCATTATGGTAGACCCAGGTAGTAAGACAGACGAACGTCTTTAGTTATAGTATCCACTCCGTTTGTGTTTTCATCATTATACAATTTTTACAGCGACCCTTTACTCCGGGCCTCCAGAAGTTTTGGCAAAACTGATGGCTTCCCGGTGTAAGTCGCTGGGTACTGTGATTTGACCCGTTTTGCGGTTCCGGTGCGATCGCGATCCAACTGGCCATGGTTTGCCGCAAAGGTATATTGCTGACAACATGAAAATACAATTATTGTCATATTATTTAACACGTTAATTGTATATTAAATCGTAATGTATACTAACACTGGACTCGTAACAGTTCGCGTTTTTTATGTAGTCATTGCGATGGACAGTGACCCGGTCAAAATCGCGTTCGCCCGGAACAATGCTCGTGTGTATGGGGTCGAAGACCGAATCGTCTTCCTGGTGGGTGACTTCTTTGTCGATGTCCTCTTGCTGCAAAGGGCAGACGGCATCGTCACGTCACCACCAGTGAACATGACTAAGGAGGAAATGGTGAAGTTAACCAAATTGGCAAGTAGGGTGGCGCCGAAAGTCTTAATGAGGTTAACGAAGGACCATGAATTGTCAGATGTAAGTTCACAGATCGTGTTATGAAAGCATCAATACCCATATAATGTTTTTTTTTTTGTAGCTGTACCAATTAGAGAATAAAATATTTAATAAAATTAATACAGAACAAATATGTATTGACAGGGAGCCAAATTCAATTTTGGCTTTCTTAGGTCCCGGAGTACGTATTTTTTTTATATCATTAAACGTTTACAATAATTAGACATAACTATAATCATCGGTCCATTGTCCAATTCACACTTGCAAGTTAATTTTGTATAATAATTTTGTTTAATAATTTAATTAATAATGTATTAATAATTTATTTTAGATGAATACGAATAATTATAACAGAAACGTAAATAGGATACAAAAGAAAGTGCTTTTGTTTTCTGATGGTAAGTTGTAAAAAGTGTACGATGTATATAGATAAAATAGTGTTTTTTGGAAGATCTTGATACCAATGATAACATTATTTTTAATTTCCATAGGGGTATCTGTTAATCGTCGTGTGCATTGGATAAGAAGTAATAATCTTTTTGCATACGACAATTACCTCAAAAACGTTGAAGAATTCCCGAAGAGCCAAAATCTCAACTGACAGACGATTCCTCAACACAATCGGAATAATATAATACAATTGATATCTGATAGTAAATACTATTTATAAATTATAATCAATTATAAATTGTATAGATAAGGACATATTTCAGATAAGGAACATTTTGAATTTTCATGAATCATTTATAAGAATTAATACATTATAAGCAGTCTTAATTTCATGAAAAAAACGTTTTAAAGATATAAAAGCATTATATTAAATAGAGAATCGTTTAAAATTTTTATATTTTTACATGAAATATACAATGAACAATTTTTGTAAGAGCATCGTTCGGTAGTTTTATATGTACCCGGTAGGAGACCAAGCTTCTAATCAAAATAATTACTTAAAATAATTTACTAAAAAATAAAAATATTATTTAGAAAAATTGTATAAATATATTATGTAGGTGTAATAATATAAAACTATTTAAAAAAAAAAAAAAATAACGGATACCTCAAAGTACTTTATTTTGTGTCTTGTTTTATTTAGCTCCGAGTTCTAAAGGAATAATTATATCAACCCCTCTGTTCCATAAAATAGAACTGTTTCAATAAGTGAAGTGTGAATATTTTTAGCATTATTCTGTTTTAATTTTGCTAATGACCCGTTTATTGAATATAAATATTACATTTTCAACGAACACCCGTACCGAGCAACAATTAGATACCACAATAACATCATTATTGTTAAATCCAACTAATAAATAAATTATATTTTATTTCAGATACACATACTATATAATATATTTTGAATTATAATTTGAATTAAAATTTTGTATTTATTCTATATCCATTGAGAGATTAGAAACATTGTTAGGTTGATAACGGATGTGTTAAAAGAAAATGGAGATTTACAAGTTAACTGTTTGTGTAAAATATTACAAATGATTGGTTCGAAATTTTAAATACTATTAATTAAACATTTTAATAACTCTCCTAATAACATGATTTATTATTTCTAGATGTATTTCTAGTCAAATATAGCTTGGCCAAAGCTTTTGCGTATTTATTAATACTAGAACGTGATTCGTTTAGAGAAAGTTATGTCAACAGCGTTAAGACCATTAAAATACACGATATGATATCTACTTCAACAAATGGATTCATGAAGGTAATTATATAATGTTATTCTAAACTGAGTTTAAAATATTGCACAGACTTTTATCGATTATTCAAAACCAATGTGAGTTGATTGGGGTATCGAGGTATAAAACGATGAAACAACTGAAATCGATGAAACTGAGCCATCGGTTTAAATATTAATATAATTTGTGTAGTATTGATGTTTGTGAATTCGTTGAACAGAAAATTAGGGTGGTGAAAATCGGAGTTTGCAACAACAACAGGTTGGATTAGGATAAATTAATTTCGTCGGTTTTAGTTTCAGATCCAGATCAGTTTACGAAGGGATCTCGTTTTAAACATAGACAAAAAACACTTACCGTTCAACTAATGACTTAATTCATTCAAAATGACTGTTATGATTTACTATACGATTTCGTAGAAGAAACAGATTTGATGCAGCAATATAATAATTACATATAGGTACTGTTAACAATATTATACATATAACATATACATTTATTTTATACGGAGGATGTCGATCGATATTTTCGATCGACATTTTGACTTCTGATTTCGAAATATTTAATCACGATAGAGTTATAAATATTAATTAATTTTATCATGTAAGACTAATTAATAAGATAATTAATAATTAAATAAGCAATTTAGTAGTAGTAAACAAATATTTTTCTCCAATTTTGTTTCCCATTTTAAATTCCAACATACTATAAATATAATTTAATCTTAATATTTACAAGATATTATTCAACAGTTATCCCCTATTATAATATGCTTATTGAAAAACGATCAATCTAATTTTGTTTTATCGATAATTCGTGCAGCATTGTTTGAAAACATTCAAATAAAATAAAAAGCTTATTTTGAAAGCAAACCACTTTTCAAAGATAATGGTATTTTTAGGATAAATATTAATATTTTTGAATTCTTATTATAAAATAAAATTTATCTGTTGTAATATTTTATAGATTCAATAAAATACATCAAGATGAAGAAGTTAACGCCAACTCGCCGAACATGAAATACATAATCAACGATATTGAAGATGACTTAAAATATTATATAAATGTTTAATTTCTTAAAAAATGTTTCTATGTTTATTTCATTACTTTAATAACATTTTACATTTTGTTTACATAATATTTATATTATTTTTCTTGCAATATATAATATTATTATATTATTGTATATTTCTATTTATTGATTTCTTATTTATATCGTCGCATACATGATAAAATGCATAATTAATAATGTAGGTAACATATTTAAGATTAAAAAAAACTGATATGATGATGAATTTACAAAACTATAAAATATAATAACTAAAATGGGTGTAATTTTATTTTTACATGGAAGAAAATTCATATAATATTCAAGACAAAGTGCAACTGAATAAGTTCCTATATCTTTGTTTTCAATTTTTAGTGGGCCGGCCTGCAAGAGGACAACACAATATACCGTTGACGAATAAATACTTGAACGGTTCACGTCTGTGATGTAGAGTTGTTGGAAGGTGTTTAAATGACAAAACACGATGGTTTAAAGTTATACAGATATGTATAATAATGAATAAAATAAAATATATATAAAATATGTGGTTAATACAAATAAAATAGTAATTTATAATTGAAAGTGTGAGGACAGAGTATTTAAGCTCTGCCCGAAAATAATAAAGATTGACTCTCAGAGCTGGCGGCGATGTGAGGCGCGCGGGCTTCACGACCAGATGAGCGTCGGTGCAGTAAACGGAGTCATTAGTTAACACTAGTTTAAATCATTCTACTATTCTAAATGTATGGGTAAATGGATACCGTATTTATAGGCAGCTATTTAGGATAAGAGGAGTAAGGTCAATGGGGATTCTGACGGATGTGAACAAGGAAGCTTGTTTCTGTGATATTAAAAATAGGCTCTGTTCCGTGGGAACTGCATATCAATACGAGTAAGTATTGATATTGGTTTCCGTTTCGGTTTTGCCACATTAGTATCAATACATGATATAATGTTAGCGGATGTTAGTTACCCGATGGTATACTACAAATTGAATATAAATATTTATAAGAAGCAATTAAAATACAGTAGATTCCGCCTAATGTGGACATAGGTTAATGTCTAATTTCGAAATGGGGTGCTAAGCACACTCAAGCCCCCCCTAAATTGCGCCTATGATTATAATTCCCTGGTGCTCGTGTACTCTAATAAAATTAATAATATCTGTAACGCAAGTATGGTCACTGCGAGTGGTTTCTTCACTAGCAAATCTTGGGTATTGATTAAAATATAAAATATAAATAAAGATATTTTGATCCCTATAAAAGTATATAAAAGTAAATGTATATAAATTATGAGAAATTTACATGCGAGGATAAACTCAATAATAATTGACAGGAACTCAGGCTTAATCGATATTCTTCTTATATCCTGACTGCCTCGTGACATATATTGGATCTTTTAAAAGATTATTATGCATTTTTATCCTATTAAAATCATAGATATTTGGTCAATATTTCATATTTATAATAATATCTATGAAGACTCAATTATAATCATTATTATCAATAGGTACCTAAGTGTTTAATATTTATTGTAGTAATGTAGTGTACAGTTAAGCAGTATTTATATATAATGTACAATATTTAATGATAGTTAATCACTAAAAATGTGACAAAAAAAAAAATAATGAAAATTGCTTAGTAAGTATCAGGATGAATACAGAATACAGAAGAGATTATTTTAAGTTAACAATATTGTTTTCCATATAATCTTAATTTGATGATTTTCATTATTCTATAAGTAGTTACGATTTTACGGGTTCCAAGAGTGAAGTATTGACTATTCAACGTATGAGTTACGTGTGTATACTAAAATAAAATATCTACTATATTTGGAATTTCCATGGAAAAGTAAGAAATTAGAGTTTAAAAATACCAAAAATATTTTCCCCACATGAAAATACAAACAAAATGTCATACCAAGAAATAATAATTACTTATTAATAATACACGAATTATAATTATGAATACAAAATCTATATATAAAAAAAAGTCTAGTTAGTTACAGAATATATAATTCAAGAACGGCTGGACCGATTTTGATAATCTCTGATTTATTGGATTCGTTTCCGTACAAGAATAAAAATAACTCTAATCTTGGCAAGAATTCAGACAATTACCTAGATAAGTAAAAAATTTATCTTAGATAAGTAATTAGATAACTTAGCGTTATTTATATAGATAAGATAAAAGATGATAAAAAATCTATCTAGATAAGTCCCATCACTGCTTATGGCTTATTTAAAAAAAAATTTACAGATTGTGTAGTGTTAATAAAAACTAAAAAAAAGATTAAAATAAAATTTTAACAAAAACCTTATCATATAATAACAAACAATTAAATAAACTCAAGAAAAATAATTAATAATATCCTCGGGATTTAAATGTATTGTCAATTCTTGTCCTATAGTTAAAAGTATTAATTAATTAAATCTATCTTTAGTCATTATAGTTCTTGATTTGGACTTCACTAAAGTTATTTGAAAATGTGTAACTTTATCAGAATAATCCAAGCTTTATGAAAGTTAATTTCCTATATTTTAAAGGAATTACGCATTCAATCAGATTAATAAATTTGTAAACTTCAACTAGCTTTTTTTCTGCAGTTAATTTAGGAAAAATATAATAAATAATAATAATAATAAAAATAATAAAGTTTATTACAACAATTTCAATTTAACAAGTTAAATATACAATAAATATTTAAAATAGTTGCAACTCATCCTATAAGCAAATAAGCTTGAATACGGTTAAATATATATATCCACTATATCATCATAACACAAAATATCAACATTTAGGTTTAAGTTTAAAAGTCCATTAATAAAAATGATAAATAATATTGGGCCAAAAACAGTACCTTGTGGCACCGAAAAACTATTGATATTTATATCACTCGGTGTTCTTTCAATTCTAACTTGTTGGGATCTATTTAAAATAAAAGATTTAATTAAGTTTAGAACATTACCTCTTATACCACAGAAATCAAATTTGTTTATTAATAACTCATGATTCACACTGTCAAACACTTTTTTAAAATCAAGAAAAATACCCAAAACTTTGAATTTTTTATCCAAATTATCATGAATAATGTAGGAAGTTTTAATTAATGGGTCCGCGGTTGAGATATTTGGACGAAAACCATATCGATTTGGTGAAAAAAATGAATTTTTATTAAGAAAATTATTAAGTCTTTTTTAATACGTTTTTCAAAAATTTTAGATATAGTTAAAGTTAATGCAATGGGTCTGTAGTTACTACATAGTTTTTTGTCACCTAATTTAAAAAGAGGCAGAATAATAGTAAAATAAGAAGAATTTTCTGGAATTTTCTGAACGAAATTTGAAATTTGAAAAGGGTATATTGGATCAAGATAAGTTGAATCATTTATATGGTAATAATTATGTCATTCATTCCAATTTAATTTATTATAGTTACTAGTATTTATCTCATCAGAAATACTTTTTCCAACATTAATATAATAATTATTAAATTCATTCAATATATCAGATTTTTTAGTTAAAGGAATATATGAAACGTTACTATTCGGGCAGTTTATTGGAGGTTCTTTTTCTTAGAATTACAATATAAGAGAATTCATTTATTAATTTCCATGTGGTTTTCATATTTTTTTTAGATAAAAGTATTATATCACTATAATATAAACAACGAGCTTTTTTAATTAATAGATTCAAAATATTTCTATATTTGATATAATATTGTTTAAGTTTTAAATCAAAAGGTGATTTAAGTTTTTTTTTATAAAGTTTTTGTCTATTTTTAATGGTATAAGAAGACCATAAGTTATCCATATTTTGTTTTATTGGTTTTTTTTAATTTACTTATTGAAATAGTAGTAACTTTAGCAGCACTAGTAATTAATTCAGTTATTTTATAGTTAAATTTCTCTACAAATATGTCTACATCATTAGCAATAAGTAAACTCTGCCAATCAAACGAAAAAGCGCATATTTAGTTATTGATGAATATATCATATTTTGGAAAAAAGCACGTATTTCAATAAAAGATCGAGCAGATTGTATGAAGAAATTAAAAAAGTCGTATGAATTATGACGAAATCTCGAAAAACATAAAGAACTGAAAAGCAAACATATAAATCTCAGATTAAAGAGTTTGAAAAAAAATTAGACAACTTATTTGACATAGCACATGCAAATACATTTGACATAATGAAAATCGAAATTGATAAAGAAAGAAATTCACAAAGAATACCAGGTCGTCCAAGTTGTTTGCTAAGAGTTGACAAGCAACATATGAAAAAAGAAAAAAAAGACAAATTATTAGAAAAAATAAAGAGACAACAAAACGACAGAAGTATGAAGCTGAACTTTCAAATAGTGAGCTAGGTAATTATTACAATTTTAATACTGAAAACATTCAACTACCTATTGTAGCTTTCTATTCATTGATCATATTATAGATTATTATATTATTATATTATAGTTGAAACACCGGCATTCTCTAGTTCCGAGGAAGAGAAGGACACAAAATGTAATATAAATTCAGAATATGAAGAATTTGAAGATATGCCCTGTTCATATGGAGTTCAAAGGGCAAAAAAATCAATTATGACACCAAGTCTTTCCGCAGCTTTAGGTAAGTGCAAGGTAAGTGATAGAGACGCAGTACATTTATTAACAGCATGTATAGAAAGTCTTTCCTTAAATTCGACTAATTATATTATTAATAGAACACCTATTAGAAATAGCCGAGAAAGTATTCGAAAAAAAATTGCAGAAAAAGTTCGTTCAGATTTTGTTAGCTTAAATATAGATTTTGTTATTGTACATTGGGATACAAAATACTTCCTGGCTTAACCAATCAAGAAAAAGTTGATCGTCTTCCAGTTATTGTCTCAACGCCAAATGGAGAACAACTTCTTGGCGTTCCAGAAATCCCATCAGGCACAGTAAGTGACATATCATCAGCCGTATATGATTGTTTAGAAAAATGGTCTTTGCTTGATAAGGTACAAGG